GTGTAACGCGTCTCTGTTGTATTAAAACATTATTTTGTGACACGTAGAAAAAATGATCTTTAAATACACTTACCGTAAAGGCTGAACGCCAAGCACGCAATTATGAGACTAGTGATAGCGCTCATAGCGACAGAAAATACAGCACGTCTAACGCGTTATCTTTGATTTTATATTAAGTATTTTTTACAATGTAAAATAAGATATAAAAATTTTATATCTGCAGATTGGATTAGATACGCAAGTGTATTGAAATACGCGTTGTATGGATTTTATTTTTTGTTATCTGAAGTTTGTGATATATATTCTATTCCAAAAGTATTTTTCAAGATAGCATGTACTCATATAAAACAATATAACATGGCGTAATTTGTTAAAGTTATTTTTTTATAATATAAGTATAAAAAAATTATCAATTCAATCCAATTACAAGACAGATATATGTGTAATTTTGTATATACGGATTATGCTTATCAGATGTGTAAGTAAAACGTACCAAAGCGCATTTTTTAAATAGAGTTTTCATTTACAACAACAATATGCAGTTAGACACATTTTTATTTATCTATTAATATAAGACAGTAGATTATCTTTGATTGCAGCTGCGATATAAATTTAATAAAGATAAAATTGTGAGATATTATTTTTTTTTAATTTTACCACGCATATGTTTTATTTAACTGAGTATTATTTCGTCATTGCATGATATGTCTACATAAGTGCGAGAACAATATCACAAAAAGGATATTAGATGTGTGTTGAGATCGAAACAGAATATTAATAACTTTATCGTTTAAAGAACAACATTTTGTGAGACCCAATTTTTGTAAGAGTACACTCTCGTGTACGCGTCCGGATATCCGATAGCACATGGTCGAACGAACGAGGCGATACCAATTTGAACACCATCCGCAACGAGTGGACTGCCGGAATCACCCTGTAGAAAACATTTGTGTCAGACACTAAAGTAACAAAGCGCATCTCCAAACTATTGTCGCACTTACGTGACATGCTCCTTCGCCGTATTGCGAAAATGCGCAAATGTGACTGTTTTTCAGATTCACAAACGTTCGCTTGCATTTTGTTTGCGAGTAAACTTTCAAGTCGAGTTTCTGAAGCTCATTAGGCACTTTGCCCATAAACTGGAAATAAAAATGAAAAAAGTGCAGAAAGTAAAACTTGAAAAAGTAATATGCTCGATATAAAATTGCAAACATGTGCGTTGCTCTTTTTTGCTAAAAACGATGTTAAATCTTGCCTGTAAATACTACATACATTTAATATCACGTAATTTCTTATCGTAATAATTTCTTACTTTTTCAAACAACGTCTGCCTTACACGTCGAGACTCTTACCTCAAGTGTACCCCATCCGGTCAAGAGGCAGGGATGTCCATCCTCGACGGAGTTAGTGCTTGCGAGATCGATTGGTTTCACTATTTCATTGTATTTTATATCTGTCTTCAAGCGGACCAAACCTATGTCGTTGCGAATCAGCACAATATTAAATTTCTCGTGGATAATGACTGCTTCAGCGTTATAAACATCACCGGATTGATTCAAGAAATTCGTGCCAGCGTGAACCGTCATATCAGCGACGTCAGCGTTTGTTTTAAATCTACGTCATATACGTAAAATAATTAATTGCAATAGTTGCTCGGCCAAGTACACGTGCAGCAAAAGTCACGGTATAATTTGAATTTTATAATTTGAACAAGAATTATAAGGTCATCTTATTGAGAGAAAACCGATAAATACGCACCCCGTGAGACAATGAGCTGCAGTGAGAATGTAACGCACATTGATGATGGATCCACCACAAAAATGTTTATTGTTATTTCTCAAAGACACCATGTACGGATACTTGCCGATTTCGGCGTCAGTACCGCCAACAATCTGAGTTGGCAGGCCTATTCGAAACAAATAAAAAAAACTTATACAGTGTATCTAATAAAATTTCACACACAGATACTTGTAACAAATACTCAATACTGCGGTTTTTCACTTTTCCCTTACCATGACCGACAGTTGCCAGACAAGCGATTAAGAGAACGAAGTATCCGTTCATGGTGAAAGATAAACTCTACTAACGACAGATATTCGGTTCTTTATATATACTTAAGTGAACGACGTGTGTGTGATTGTATATACAAGTATATGTGTGCGTTTCTACTAATGAGTAAGATTACGAAAGTGAGATAAATTCCCGATTCTCGAGATCCCCGATAACAACGTTACAAAAGATTTTATGCATCTATTCCCTAAAGCTTGTTGAAATCCAAACTGTGCTTAAAGTGCAAAAAATCTGTTTAGTTTTTTTATTTACTCAGTGGCGATTAATCCGTTTGACACTTTCATTTCGTCTTTTTTTGCTACTGTTTTTTTTCTTTTTTTTTTGACATTTTGCGAATTCTTTTATTTTCAAGTTTCTGTTTCTTATCGAAATATACATAAACAAGCACTTACTTGCAGTCTGTGGACGGGCGATATTTTATTTTTGTGCGATAATATATCGATCACATACTATCAGCTATTGTAAATATCAGTGACATTTGTTGGGAATGAAAGATATTGGAAAAAGTTGAAAGAAAAAAAAGACCAATTACTCTATCGCGATATTTACACGATATTTATTGAACATTGTTTCGTAAATACATATTGAAGTGACTTTGATATAGGAATAAATAGTCCTTTATATAGGATTGATTTGATATAAGAATAAATAGTCCTTTATTTTATAAGATGCGCGTTGATCCAATTTTCGTACTTGGACACTCTCGTGTACACGTCCGGATATCCACGCGCACAAGGTGTACCGAAGGAAACGATTCCAATTTGAGTGCCGTTGGCCACCAATGGTCCGCCAGAATCGCCCTGAATACAATTTTTTTTTTAATAACACATTAGATATTAAATCACACATCTTGTGTGCGTGATTAACAACGACACCAATAGGATTCACATACATGACACGCTCCTTGTCCCGCTTTGGTAAAGGTGCAAATATGACCATCCTGTACTCTCCACTGTGTCTCTTTGCATTGGTCTTGAGGATAAACTATCAAATCAATTTCTTGTAGCTTGTTCGGAACGTTGCCACCAAGCTAGTAAAAATATAAACAATGTGATGCAAGAATATTCACCCAATATTTATCATAAAAAGTTCTTTATGTTTTTTGGTGATATAAAGAGGGAGTTGTTCTTGAAAGTTGATGTGTGAAATTTGAAAAATTTTGTAAATTTGACATTACCCTAGTGGTTCCCCATCCGGATAACGTGCAGGATCTGTTTTCACGACCTGTGTCATTTCTCGAAAGTGATATTGCCTTCACCTTGTCGCTGTATTTGATAGGTTTCTTGAGATGAAGCACAGCAACGTCATTTCTGATGAGATAACTATCGTAATTCGGATGAATGCTTATATTTTCTACTTTGTACTCGTCTCCCGTTTTATTTAAAAAGTTCGTGCCAGCATGAACTGAGAAATATTCGGGATAGCTGCTCCTCCTAAAATATCATTAAAAGGTTATAAGCATTTAAGAAGAAGCTAAGGAACAAATTGTAAAAACCGAAAGTGGATTTTGTTTTTAATGAAAATAATGTTTAAAGAACGTATTTTTAACTGATGTTAAAATACATAAATGTGTCGAATACATGTATTAAATAATTTAAATACATTAAACTGTAACTAAATTAGAATGTTTATTAATTAAATTTTAACTGATATATTAAAATAAATTTAAATATTTAAAACGTACCCATCTACGCAATGCGCTGCAGTTAATACGTTACGAGTATCTAGTATGGATCCACCGCATGTGTGCGAGCCGAGAAATCTTAACGATATCTGATACGGATATTTGCCGATGGGAGCATCTTTGCCGCCGACGATACGAGGATTCGGAGCGCCTTAAATTAAAAACAAAAATTGTTTAAAATAGCGCGAAATAAATTTTACATCGCACACGTACATTTTTACTGTAAACAATATAAATTTAAATGATGTACAATAATTTTTAGAAATTTTACATCTGAACAAATAAGTTTAGAATAAGTTGTAAGATTCATTGACAAATTTGAAATACCTTGGACGGCGCACGCCAAAGCGATGAGAACAAGACAAGCAAACGCGTGCATCTTTGATGGCAGATTTCTCGATGACACACAAGTGAAGCGAAGATGCATTCAAACCTTTATATATAGGTATAAGTTTCTCGAGATAGTTACAACAAGAGAAATGAATCACATGCTAGTGACGCTTCTGCGTGATATTGCACATTTTATTGATAAAAACGATAGCGTTTCAATTAAGCTCACGTGTTTTTTATTAATTAACATTTTTTCAGAAGAATTGGAAAATACGTCACTATCTAGTTCATAGAGAATATCTTAAAGTCAGGCTTATCGGTTACTATATATCTCACGCATTTTATGATAACAATAAGTAGGCCTAGAGCGCTACCGTGTTTTTACTAAACTATTAGATTTACAAGGAATTTATTGCAGAACAATGGAATGTAAACACATTAATGTGTCTTTGGAAATTTTATAGCATATTTATTACATATTGTTTAATAATTACAATATAGTATGCAAACAAAAGATCTCAGTTTATTTGATTACAGAACAATATTTTTCCTCAGCCAATTCGTATATGAGGACACTCTAGTGAACACGTCGGGCTCGCCGCGAGCGCACGGCAAAGCGAAAGAAACAACACCGATTTGAACATCACCAGCAATAAGAGGACTACCGGAATCACCCTAAAAAAATTTCATAAAAACGATTACATTATTGCCCGATCCGAAATGTCGATCCCAATTATTTTCCGACTTAAGTAAGTAAATAAAAAAGCTTACATGACACGCGCCTTCGCCTGCTCTCGTATACGTGCAGATGTGAGAAGACTTTACTTGCCAGAATATGGCTTGGCATTTCTTTTGATCATAAACGTTCAACTTGATATGTTGCAACTTGTCAGGGAACAAACCACCGATCTAAAAGTACATAGAAATATCGTGTAATTTTACATTTTTGTAACTATGAAATAATTAAACCTTAGATCAAAACATGTTACAAGATACGTTCCTAACAAATTCAGTTTGAAAAATGTCGGGCAAAAAGTTCAAGTTTTTTTTGTTTTTTAATTGCGTAATAATTTCTATTTTAGTTTTTACTCACTGCGGTTCTTCCCCAACCGCTTAGAACGCAAGGAGAGCCTGCGACGATGTCGTTGGTCGCGAGTCGAATGGGTTGAATCGTGGGAGTGAATTCAACAGGTCTCGACAGAATGAGCACACCAATGTCGTTGAGTAATTTATACATATTGTAATTTTCGTGATGGATGGCCTTGATTGCTTTGTAAACAGTTCCTTCTTCGCTCAACAGATTCGTGCCGGCGTGAATAGTCAGAATTTCCAGAACACGGGGATCTTTGACGTAACTGTGATATTAAAACGTACGATTGTAGACGTAATAACTGTGACATATTTTTGTTAATTACTTTTCACAGTGCTCGAAATTTAAACAATTTCGAATATCTTTTACTTCAATATTTATTTGACAATAGATAATTAACGAGCGAAATACGTACGAAATAACACAATGGGCTGCAGAGAGAACGGTGCGTGTAGAGATGATAGATCCGCCGCAGGAGTGAGATCCATTCTTTCTCAGAGATACCAGATGCGGATACGCGCCCACTGGAGCGTCTTTTCCACCGATAATATAAGAATTCGGAAAGCCTATGCGCGTAAGAAAATCAGTAATCGATGACACATTGTTTGAAGGTTTTTTATAAATCGTTCTAAAGGTAATTGATACGTTCGTAAAAAATTAAATATAGTTTTAAAATCAAATTCGACACTAATCAATACTAGTTGTTGATATCTAAAATGTTTTTATTATTTCAAAAATCTATTTTCACTTCTTTCAAAACTTTATTATTATTCGTATTTCTTTTTCTTTCTTTCCTTTAAAAAGATTGAAATAAAAGTTCTTTCTCTCTTTCAAGAGCAGAATAAAAAAAAAAAAAAAACTCCTTTTCCAACAACATTTTTCACATAATCAAATATTGACTGTGTGTGTTGCTTACCATGAGCAGCTGCTGCCAAGCTAACGAGTACAAACAACGCCAACATGATGAGATCGTGATACTGATTAATAACAAAGCTTTCTCGTAGAGTTTATATACCGCTTTGAAGCACTTGAAGAACGTTCGTTGAAACGTGTGTGTATTACATAAACACAAATTAAGTGATTTAATTATTCTAATCCCTGATAGATGTAATCGCGTTGAAATCTCTACGCGACAATATAAAAGAATTTGTGGTGTCGACCAAAATGACTAGCCTTTTTTACCTGGGTCTTTTATCAAGTAAATGTCTACAATAAAAAACTTTTATCTCGAGTACGTGACGCGATTGGTAGATTACTTTATATAGCGACTTATTGCAGCACAATGAAATGTAAACACATCAATGTATCTTTGGTAGTTTTATGGCAATATTTATTAAACACTTTTTTACTCACTGAGAATAACAATAATCTGGTCGAGAATAACTGTACCTACAAAAGATCTCAGTTTACTTTGTTACGAAACAACATTTTTCTCCAGCCAATTCGCAAACGAGGATACTCTGGTGAATACGTCGGGCACACCGCGAGCGCACGGCCTGCCGAAGGAAACAATACCGATTTGAACACCGCCAGAGAGAAGAGCACTACCGGAATCACCCTAAAAAAATTTTATAACAACACCACATTAATTATTGCACAATCCGAAGCATTCACACGACCAATTTTTTTTATTTAAGTAAGTAAGTGAAAAAGCTTACATAGCACGCGCCTTCGCCTGCTCTCGTATACGTGCAGATGTGAGAAGACTCCACTTGCCAGTGCGAGGCGCGGCATTTCTGTTGATCGTAAACGTTCA